AACGAATAGTGGGATTGACCGTTACATTATAACGCTCCCACGGCTGAAAGGGTGAGCATGTTTGGTGTGACGGGGATTCAAATCCGCGACCCTCAGATTGCGAGTCGAGCGCCCTAACCACCTGGCCATGCCCTCTGCAAGAAGTAAAGACGAGAAAAAGAGTCTGTTTTTCTATTTGCCAACGGTTTGAATCCATTCAGCCGACGCATCTAACATCTCACGCTAACCCGCCTAGGTCGATGGGCTCGCACAATCGGAAACATTTTTATTGGGTCTAATATTTACACGCTGCCGCATGTAACGTGTCATTTAATACAGAGGTAGATTAGGACCAGACTGTGCCCAGGAAACTAGTGGCGACAGGTGGAAATTTTTCTCGTAGTGAATTATTAATATATACAGCTGTAATTGGCGCTTTGGAGTCAAACTAACGAAACCATGTTAACTACTTATAAAAATGTTTTATGAAGGAGTAATGGTATATATCAAGTAAAACACTTTTTTCACCTTTCGTAAAGTATCATAACGACTTTACTGTTTTTTTTATCCGCTGTTTGCCGCACGTGTGAAAGATAAATCTAGTACTACGTTGGTTTCGATAATAGTTAATGATTTCGGTCAGACTTTAATGCTTCTACAAAACCTTCGGATAGCATTCACTTAGTTTTTAAATACAGATCTAACTAGCTAGATAAAAGAGAGAGAGATAGGTAGATAAATATAAATATTCAGACAGACAGATAGGCAGCTAGGGAGAGATATATTAGTAGATAGTAGGTGCATGGAAAAACAGATAGATAATTAAGCAGATAGACAGATAAGAATATAGACAGACTCATAGGCAGATAAAAGAGACACAATTTAGATAAGTAGATAAATAGACAGACAGATAATTTTTTATCATGAAGTACTCTGTTTTTTTCATGTTGTCCTTTTTAATCCAAGGGAAAAAAAACATTATTTACATGCCGTGTCTTACCTTTTAAGATGTGTTTAACTGATTGTTACTTAATGTGAACTTTAACACCTGCAGCTCGCCAAAATATTTTTTAAACGAATATCCGAGGTCTCTGTGTTTACAGATTTCAGTCATAGCACGTTTATTACAAACAAACTTTTATTACAAACAATTCGTTTTAAAGTTTGAGCTTCTTTCACTGAAATCACAGTGTAGAAATGGGAATTCTCAATAGCCGCGGCACTTGTAAGTCTTTTAGGCAGGATTAGAGTAAATCAATCTATGAGACTCTTTTTTTATTCTTTTTGTTAGCTATATTTTTGTGCGCCAGCAATACCAATCGTGGGGCGTGCGTATACCCGATTAAATTTCATTACTCATCAGAATCTCTTCCAGCTTATCCTCAAACTGAAATTATTTTATGCAGGATTAGAGTAAATTAATCTATGAGACCTTTAATCTAAAGGGTTTGACCTCTTGAGTCCAAAGCTGTAATTAGATCTGAAATCGGTCAAGAGATGACGGAGCTATGAGCTAAAAGTTTGTATTTGAAACAACAACAATAAACAAACAAACAAACAAAAACTCAAAGCCGTTCTATGAGCCGCTATGCCGCGGCTATAAATTTAAACACGGTCGGAAATGAAAGAAACTACAAAATAATTATTCACAGACAAGTAAAAAGAACTTATTCTGGTGTTTGCTGTCACGTCTTCTTCATGACATAAGTAGTTTAAAGAATAAGAATCTGTAAGGACTCCTGTGTGCGTTAACATAACGTTTTTGGAGTGTGGTACCTCTGTTTTCTTTGAGAACGATTGAAACCAATCTAGTAACATATCGATGTCCAATGGAAAAGGTTTCGAGCATCCAGTGGGGGAAAAAAACCGTAAAATTGATGGGAATCGTAACCCTAACTTACCAGATATTTCCTGAAGCGTATAATTTCCTTTTTGAAAATTTCATCACGGTTACGCTACTCATACGAGAATTATTTATTAGAGTGCATTTAGATCCCGTGAATCTATTCTAAGCGTTTTCTGTAATGCAGTAGCTTTTAGAAATAACAAGATATCTATGTAAATCTCCATGATTTATCTGTAAAAAACGTAAGTTTATAGAAGTGTATTCCCATTTGACCTCTTTGTTTTGTTTTTTAATGTTTTCCCATTCGAATTGAAAAACAAAATTTAATAAAAACAAAATACTCTTAAGGAATAATATCGTAAGGTTCATGTAGAATATTTTTGCATAGAAGTCGATCATAGTTTCTAATGATGAAATTTTTGGTAATCGTTTTCAACGGTGGTTAATAAGGTGTTATGGATTAATGTGATATAGTCCTCATCCGATTAATCGGCTTAATGACTATTAAATATTTATTCGTTGTTAAGCGTACTCTAAATGATAGAAACTTCGTTATAAATGTAGATAATTAAATCAGAAAAACAAAACAAAAAAACGTGTGGTCTGTGTGAGTTTATTCTTAAGGCTTTGTTTGTTTGTTTCGAGTTAAGCACAAAGCTACGCAAAGGGCTATCTGTGCTCTGCCCACCACGGGTATCGAAACCAGGTTTCTAGCGTTGCAAATCCGCAGACACAAGTTCTCGATACAAACATCATTTTGCCCCCAGTGGCACAGCGGTATGTCTGCGGACTTACAACGCTAGAAACCGGGTTTCGATACCCGTGGTGGGCAGAGCACAAATAGCCCTTGTGTAGCTTTGTGCATAATTACAAACAAACAAACAAACATCATTCATAGTACGTTAGATATTTATGTTTGTATTAGAAAGTATATTTCATTTAAGGACGTGTGTGTGCAACGACTGCTATGTAAGAATAACATGCACAAATATGTCGTAGAGTTTATACCAGAAATAAAGAGTTAGTCGATTCACGGAACTGATATTATCTTTAATGTAAGCTTTGCAAAATATCCTTATAAAAAAAATACAACATTTCGGAACTTTTCCATTTAAATAGAATTAACTAATAAATTGTAATACTTATTTGTTTGTAATTAAACACAAAGCTACACAATGGGTTATCTGTGCTCAGCCCACCAGGGGTATCAAAACCTGGTTTCTAGCGTCGTAAGACCGCAGACATACGACTGGGGAGTAAGTTGTAGTATTAAACAGAGTGAATCAGAGCAGGCCCGGCATGGCCAGGTGGTTAGGGCACTCGACTCGCAATCTGAGGGTGTTCGAATCCCCGTCACTCC